TTCAGCAGAGGCCAACAGTTCCAATTTGCTTCACTTTGCCATGTTGTAATCTGTGTTGTGTAAATGTGGACATATTTTTCAAACAAAAGATCTGGCGTTTTGCACTGTAGGCCCAGTGAATTCTCGATGTACTTTGAAATGACTGAGTTGAAAGAAAGATCCATGTATTCATGATTGCAGCAGAATGGAAACCAAAGATTTTCTGTCAAGTGCAATGCTATCACAGTTATAATTCATCAAGTTGATATATTATAATTCAAAAACAGAGTTCTTCCAAAACAGAGAACATCTGTGTTGTTTTTTCCACTTTTACATTTTTCAAGAAACTCTAAAATAATATGCAAAAAAAAAAATCTTATTTTTTGCATCGCTGTTATTCTTAAACTGTCTCCCACGTATTTAAAATTAATATATTCCCTCAGCACTGAGAAAAGTGTAGGACTCCAAACATGTTATGCAAATTGAAATAATGTATCAATTGTATTTATTAAAAATTAAAAAACAGTACTTCATAGCACCATTAACTTTGACATGTTTTCAACAGAGCCCAAATAGGAACGACTTTCCCACAGCAATCATACGGCAATCTTTATATTGATGCAATAACAAAAAAAAAAAGACTCACATCTGCTGAAAGCACGAGAAAGTCTAAAAAGCATCGCTGAAGAGGAGGAGTGAAGAAAACAGCACTTCAAAATCTCCCTATACCTGGACAGACAATAATAGAAATCAACTTTATTAGTGAACTGTGCAGAGGATAATCTGTCTGTGCTAATACCCTCTAGTACGAGCAGAAGACGCCTTCAATTGTTCTCTCTAATGAAGATGAATACTATACTGTAAAGACAGAGGAAAATATGTGACCTCACCAGTCCCTTTAGAGGTCAATAATCTTTCAGAATAATTGCCTGAAATTTTAATTGAAGCAAAATCTTACTTAAGCATTCATCACTGTGGACAGACATTCCTCCCTTCAATTTTGCATTCCGATTAATTCTTCTAATTTAAAAGTAACTGCTTTGTGCCAGTATAAAGGAACACAATTATAAGCTTTAAGTACATATAGCTTATTTCCATAAAACATTACTTTTCTAGATACAGAGGCTGCTCACCAAGGCATAAAAATAGCCAAATTTATGCTGGCAATTGCCACAGATGCTTCAACTTATTATGAAGTCAACAACAATCGTTCAGGGTTTTTCAGTTTGTCAAAACTTGCAAATTTGACTAAACAAATTGTTCTTGAGGGCTGCTTACTTTTTATAGAGGTGCGTTCCCAGCTACACGCTTCACATGTGCAAGGCCGTATGTAAATTCTGCCAATACCAAAAGCTTTAATACACACGCTTTAATAAGTCTGGAACTGCACAACCATCCCAGTCATTTGACACAACTGTTTTATTAATCCAAATTAGTCGGAATGAAATCTTTTAAAGCCAATCAAATAGTTTGCTTGATTAGTGGTGTGTTCTTTCTGGCACACTGAAGAGCAGATGAATCCAATAAGGGGGGAAAAAAGACAGGGAAAAGGAAGGGCAACTCTAATTTGTGAGGACAATGAACTAAATTGTTCTGTCCCAATTTCTCAAGAGATACTTTGTAATCATGGCTAATTGTTGTTGCACAGTAAAGTGGGAAAGGAACAATAGTCGTTGTTGCAGACTTTTTGTGAATTTGCAAAATAAAGAAATATTTTGAAGATTTATAAAAGTTCCATAACTACACACCTGAGACTGTCACAAGTTTGACACTGCAGAGGACAAAATAAAAAATCTTTAGTCATTTGTTAATTTCATCCAGTTCACACAGTTCTACTTCAGTAACTTGCACACTCTGGGGTTGAATTAATAATTAACTGCTATACACCAAGAACACCTGTGTACAGTGGGGGAAGTATTTAAATTAAAAGTAACAATACTGTGGTATAGCAGAGTGTACTTATACTTAAGGTGTTTCACATATTAATATACACTAATGTTTATTTATATCTATAATCAGATATGACCTTTTTAAGGATCATTACTTTTTTTAATGTCAGTATTAATCTATAAAGCAGCCGAGCCAGTAGCTGAAACTAGCAATATTTCTTTATAAATTGCAGAGGTACCGGTATAAAATAATAGAAGAGGAGACACTCGAGTAAAATACAAGTACCTCCAATTTGGACTTACAGTACATGAGTATGCATTGTGTACTTATAGACCATCAGTGCCACTGTGAAAGGATAATAAGAAACAATACTTCTGGGGTTCATCTGATAAAGTTGACCCATTTTTGTTATGAGTTTCAGTCAATCTGATGCAAAGGTAAAGCCATGAATCAAAGATAAATGTCTCAGTGTCTGTACAGTTTCTCACCTATTATGCTGTGACCTGCTTGAGGCATTGAATTTTCTCAAGAAAGAGCTTGGGTCATAAACTCTGTGTAGGTGTTTTTTTCCACAAATGTCCTCAATAGCAACCCTCTGCGAAGCAAAACCAAATAACCTTTATATAAATACGGCCTGGATTAGACCGCATTTGACAATTTCTTCAGTGCTAGCTGCCTCAGATTTGTCTGCATTAGGGTTCACCAAAGAGAGGAAATTAGTCAGAGATGTCAGGACTAACATAAATACCTTTATGGAAGAAGCAGAATAAATAGAGGTCAATATAATAAATGCAATAAATGTTCCACAGGCAAAAGGAAATGGAAAAAATGGAAATATGCAATGGAATCCATCCATATTTCAAATGATGGGATAGGCTTGCCATGTTTAACCTAACACTGAGATGTTTGATTAACTGTGTTAATCATTTCCCATCTACACTGGGCCCCTGTCTCTGCCTTTTGATTAAATTCCGACTAGTCTTGCATTGTTCATTATGTATACTTGTCAAATAATTGACTGCTTGCAGGCAAAAAAAAGAGAATGTGTGCCTTTCAGTCTTAATGAGGAAGTGCTTTAATATCATGTCATTCACTTTGCATGGCATGTCCAGGAGATGAGTGGAAGACACAAGGAGAGAATCCTCCCCAGTTCAACCTCCGAGTGGAAAGGTTCTCATGAATTTGGCTCATCTGGTTTTGAACAATCTTTTTGTCTTCCTCAAGTTCATGTTTTAGGTCAAACAAATTGACCTTTGTGCCATTTAATTTGAGTCTGTATGGAAGACACATAACATAAGCCCTTTTCAGACATACACTGGAACCCTGAAATTATCTAGACATTACTTGGAGGAGCTGTATGAGAGAACGCAAATGTCCGACTCAGTCCACCTGGATATTAAGCGGACTTTACTCTGCCAGCTCCGTAGTACGAAGTTCACGTAAAGTCCGAGTGAGCTGCAGTGAGCCCATAAGAAATCAGCTGTGTATAGTCTGGAGTATTCACAGTGAGGTTGCGGGTATGTTAATGATGTTCTATCATGTGACCGGCGTGAATCCAGAAGAATACGAACATCCAGTGGTGAATAAAAGTGGTCATTTACAATAACGATGCCAATGAAAATATCTAAACAAAGATAAGATAGGATTCAGGAACTTCCATCATTGAGAGCCAGTGCTGTAAACAAAAAAAAACACAAAACACAGAATTTCCATTAGGTGAGAATGGACCATTTCCTGTTGTGTGCTACATGTGTGAAAGGGCAACTCTGGACAAAGGCCAGGCCTGATTCCATGGCCATAGTCTGGAGTGCATGTGTGATCATGGCTTCAGATTCAGTTCACAGTATGATCTCCAATAATGATGGCATAAGAGAAAGGTTGGCTAAGATCAATAAAAGTCTTTAAAAGGCAGTAACAGATGACTTTTAAGCATGCTTAGAACAAAATGAAGGCATATTGTTTGTGTAACTGATTTTCATTAATCCACAGGTATATCATGATATGCATCTTTTACTGTATGTATATGCAGCACGACTGGAAACATTTCTATACTTCCACTAGTTTTCATACATTTACAGAAAACCTAGGGTCATTTAACTGTAATACAGTAATACCTTGTATAGAATTCACCTTTAATACCATTTCAGGAGTCTACTTTTCATATACGAGTTTCCAGTGCTGGCCTTCTTTTTAATGACTTCACAACACAAGTGAATCAAATCATAAAGCTGTCAACCTTCACTAAGAACCCGGACCTGCTGTGATAATGACACCTGACTCGACTGACAGCTCCACGCGGTGTTATTTCTGGGGTTAAGGGTGTGTGACTCCAGGCTTTTCAGCATCATCCTTGCTCCCAGCTCTTAATACAGTTTTATTTGTACAGCCCTGAATAACACAGCACACCACTTTGTATGCATACATGGCGTTGTTTCTCTCCTCAAGGATAAATGGATAACAAACACTCAACATGATAAACCTTGTAACATAAGTAGAACTCTGCTGAAGTGAATGTGGAATAAAAGACAGTATGAAGAATTTATAGTCATGTCAAGGCTGTGTTTTGCCAACTCTGTTATGAGCGGAGATGCCAACATTTGTGTGAATAATTCATTTGTAAAAAAGCTCATGTCCTCCACTCCTAGTCCAATTGCTTCAGTATAGAAGTAAAATGAATTTACTCGCATGGTTCCACAAGAACTGTCTAATGATCCACTTTTAATATGGCTGCCTATTGTCATCACCGTACTCGCTGTCAAATCTACAAAAGAGGTTGAATTTAATTAAACAACTACTTGTGCATTTCCTCTCTATTGCTATGGCAACACCCTAACTTCCCTTGCCAGGCTGCAGGTCTGTCTCACTCTTTTTCAGCTTTATACAAACTGCAGCCACAAAGATCACAAAGGACACAGTTTCACTTATAAACTAGATATTATATTGTTGACTTTAAAAAAAAGAGATATTAATTTCATCCTTGTTATTTTATCCAGGTTAAAAAAGGATGTTGAATTTTCCATTTGAGACACTATTAGCACTCAAAATGAAGCCACCAAATATGTTTTTAAACCATTTGTGTCAGATTTTTTGTAAATATCTTTGTTGGCATCCAGATACAGAAACACAGAGAGGCAGATTAAATTGAGATGCAAAGAGAGACAGATATGGATGAAAATATCTGTCTGTCTCTCTCTCTCTCTCTCTCTCTCTCTCTGCTGATGTGTATGGGGTTCTCCCCAAATTACTAGAGTGAACTCAGAGGTCAATGGTTTGTCATGGTAAACATAAGCCATTGGAATTGGGTTCAGGAGCTTTCCCACCATTGCTCTGAGGTGGCAAAGGCTCAGCCACTGCTGCATTCTTGTGTGTCTTACCATTAAGACCCAGTGAATACCTTGGTGACAATGGTCATGTGGTCAATAAGGAGGCAGCAGTGGAAGCAGCTCAGACTTGGGCAAAAGGGTGAGCACTTTGGAATGGACTCATTAAGTCACAGCTGTTGTGTCTGGAACAATGAGGCTAGGACTCTTCTCAAAACTCTCCAACACCCAAACATTAAAACCTCAGTGGAAGATGTGTTGCAGAGTGGGGGAGTACTATAATGGGTGGAGGTCTGATGAAAGCAGTTGTATCTTAACTTTGTCTCTGAGTTCTTGGTTTCTGTGCTCAAGTTTGAGACACTAAAAACAGGACAGTCCTATTTGAACAGGTATCGACTTCCACGACAATTTGTTTTTGCAGCACAGTAAAAAAATCACCACCTCTAACAATGAAGAAAACATTTACTTTATTTTTATTTGTCAGCCTATATCTCAAGTGACGCTAACCTCACCTATGAATTCACAATCCCACTCTATCTCACACGTCATGTCGACACAGTATGAGGAAGCCAACGGTGCAAAGCAAGTGACCTCTCCGTTGTTTGGGGGTCTCAAAATTATAAACCCCTTGCTCTACACACAAAGCAGTCCCCTGCTGCTGCAGCATTGGTACTGCAATGCCAACACCTCTGCACTAGATTGGATTAGAGAGACAGCTAGCTGTGAGATGGAAGCCATTCTCACCACCAGTCCCATTTCTCATGTAAATGCCACAACAGTTCATGGTGCCCAACATAATAGAATGGATGCAACACAGTAAAAGGTTCCTTTGTTCAGAAAATTACAAACCGTCACATCAGCTGATGTGGATCTTTTTTCTTTTTCTGTTTGCTCTTGTAAATCTCTCAGAATGCCAGAGAAATAACTAGAGGAATGAGTCCCTGACTCATGTTACAGTGTATTGCTCAGCTAGAGGTTTTCTTAGAGTGCTGAACTCTGGATTTGTTCTCTGTTTCCTTTTTCCTTTCCGCCTTGCAGTCGGCAGTGTTTGCTTTGGAGCTGACAGTTGATGTTTTAGGATTCCGGAAGCCGGCCCACCAGCAGGCATGAAATCTTAACCTGTAACAACAAAGTCACAGTGATCCAGCAGTTCCAAGACTTGCAACAATGACAACCTCACCCATAAATGCTAAAAACATGCTGACTTATCTTTAATCATCATTAGTAAAGTGTTTTCCAGCTGTATTTCCCCAATGCATGGCTTTAAAAAGACAAAGAAAGCACGTTTTGAAAAAAAAAAGAAAGAATGGGTGTTAAGAGTTAATGAGGTTCAAGTGCAGGTCAGTCATGATGGACTCACACTTAGTTACTTGACTTGAGTTATAAAACCTACAGATGACAGAGGAGTCCACTTCCACTTAAATATTTATGTGCAGATTCCTACAGTTTCTTTCCAGACAACACTTGTGTGAGATCATGACTGTACCATCTTCACATGACCCCTCATCACTCAGGACCTTTCTTGCAATTTCATAACAAGGTCCACCTGGATCCTATCACCAGAAGCCACCAGAGTGGTTTGTTCTGGGCAAATGTAATTAAAGTTCGGTTTCACATGTAATTATCACAACAAAGTCTGGGCCTTGTGTGCTAGGAGATCTTTGTTATCAAAAGACACCAGTGTTTATCTTTTCAAATTAGCTGAAACTTACTATAAAATTAAATTGGATTTCTCAAGGGCTTTTTTAAAAATCATCACAAATCCTTTCTAACATATGGGTTCATGCTACATCACATTGTGCCGAAGCCTTTCTAAATCCTCACAAACGTGTAGTTTGTTTAAAGTGAGGAGCAATATGATAAGACACCTCCTGAGGGGTGAGAGTCAGCTGCTTGGTCCCATTTCAGTAAAGTGCAGTGGTGTGTATTGGTTAAGCTGGTTTTAGACCATCTCAAATTTGCCCCTTGGTGTCAGATAAGCATACCCCTTGCCCTCTTTCCCCCTCAACACACACAGGAGTACACACACACATACATTCATACTGCACCCCACTTCCTAAACAGCACCCCCTCACAGCTGTCTCACTCCTCTGGGACACCGTGAAGGCCAACTGTACAGCCACTGAAATGAGCTGCTAATCCCTGCACGGGCTCCCAAGCATATTACAACGCACAGAGCAATCGGTCCATCAGCCTGTGTGTGTGCTATCAGTCTATACAGCTGCAGGTGTATGTTTAGGCATGTGTCAATCTGTCTGAGTGCTAGCTGCATAAATCAGTGTGTGTACATTAGAAGGTGAAAACAGTTGTTGTTTCTGTCCTGCGTGACCTCTGCAATAGCTATATATCCCCTTGCAGCATTTTCTAAGAGCACAGCCAATTGCAGGAAGATGATTCCACTTCTTCCCCAACAAGTATTTCAGCCTCCTCTCTCCCTTTCATTGGAGCAAAGTCATTACTTGTGCTTATGAAAGTGAAATGAATGAGAGTGTGAGGGGGTGGATAAGAGGTCATAGCCTCGGGCCCTCAGGGGAGTGACGATGCATAAACTCATCACCTAGTACTGATAGAGGACCACTCACCTCAAGCACCATCTCTGTCCCTCTGCCCTAACTACCTCCACCAGATTTTGCCCTCGCTGCAAAGACAAGCACAAAGGTATGAGGCAGGAGCAAATTTCTATTCAAGTGATGTTCACAAAAAGCTATAAATACTACATTTGAAGGCACCCCAGTGTGATCACTTGAAACATGATAAGGATAGGCACACAGAAGGCCAGATCAGCATGCCCTCCCCTTTCATATCACTCCTAATTGGTGTAATTGCAAAGGTGAGCCTTTGTTTGAATGGGTTAATATTGTTATCACGGAGCTGTTATGAAATCATGCATTTTTAACAAGGAGAGATGATTTTAGTCCCCAAATACAAATTGAAATATTCATCAGTGTGACTGCGCCGGCCTTAAAATTAGCTGTGCAAATCGTTGCATCGGAGGAAAAGTGTAAGTACTGTAAATGCTGCTTTAATTCCACAGGCAAAACTGTTCTTCATCAAGTTGGCCAAATGTTACAAGATATTTAGTAACAGGGAGGTCACATGTGCAATCTCCAAAAATAGGATTTTTTTTATTTTAAAGGCAATGGTCCTCCAGCAAGGCACAAAAAACTGCATGCTTAGTAACTGTAGATCCTTCAGCTAGCATCTGCCTGAAATATACATGTTAAAAAGTGATTCAGGTAATGTAGTCAACACTAGGTAGCAGGTCACATTAAGCCTCACCAGTGCTCTAGAGTCAGGAAGAAAACAAATTAAGATACGATTAAATGATCATTTGATCAATTTGACAAGATATTAGGGGTGGAAAAGTCAAACCTATTTATGATTGGACAGTTAGCTATTTGCAGACAGTTCAAATGCAGACTAAAAAAAACCCTTATATATACTATTGTTACTTTCGCTAAGGAGGACAAACTGTCAAAAAAGCCTGCAAGGACTTCCAGCGCTTTGAATTCCACAGATACCTTGACTGTCTACAGGCATAACAAAAGCAATTTTTCACAGCTACCTGACTGTGACACACTGTCCACTTATCCATCAGCAGGGCTCAAAACGAAAGCATTTTGCTGTGCCTGGTACGTTTGGCCAGTCATATCTCACACAAGTCTTCATTCTGTAAAAGAGGGCAACATTATTACACTAAAACTACTCAAATTCAACTAAATTCTGTTCATAAAAATCCTAAATTTTCATCCAAGGACAAAATGTGTTACAGAAATAATAGATCAAAATCCTGAAGAATTCCAAAATTCAGACCAACTTTTGCAAATATAAAAAAACCTACTTGTGCGTTGAGATGATTGTGTATGTAATCAGCAATTGCCCTAATGGCAGTGCAGACATACGTTTTGGGTAAAGGGTTCGACTGTGTGTGTCACGGGGCTGGTGTCAGGAGAAGGGCCCGGGTGGACAGCAGTCTGCCGAAAACCCTGTCGGAGTCTCTGACTGATGACTTGTCAACGAAGCACTCCTGTTTCAGACAGAGTCAGGGCTCAGGTGGCTCCAGTGGGCCCCATCTACCTCCACATGGTGTTTCAAATGTCATGCTTGTCCGGCACACTGGTTCTTTTCTACGCTCACCTCCAACTGTAACACATTCCTTCTTCTCTTTCCTCTGTCTTTAGTAGCCTGTTTCTGATTTTACAACATAAACTCCTGTTTTGTGTTAGTTTCCTTGCAACATGCTTGAATAAATTTCAAATACGAGTGCCAGAGGCTTTTATTTAGCTTGTTGGTCACAATGGACGACACCTTCTTCCACTACAGGTTTAACTATGCTTATCCTATTCTGCTGGAACACACCCAGGCCATTTTTGTTTTATATACTGTATGTGGTGTGATATGCTTTAGGTCCTTTACCCGAGGAAAGGTAACAAGAAACATGACAAAAATGTTATAGGCTTATAATATGTTTTTATGTAGAATTGTTAAGTGAAAAGTAGCTAATAACTATGGGCATCAGAAGAGTATAATTTTATGTGTAGTGTAAAAGAAAGTTTCATGAAATAAATATGCTTAAAAGCAAAGTGTAAATCTGGACTTGAGCTACTTGAGTAACAACACTAGAAGGCCCTGTAGCAAATCACTCTGCGACTTCGTGTCTCTACATATTAAATCCAAATTAATATACAGTATTAAATGCTAATTCTGTGCGGGTAGGAAGTGAATTCACTACCTTCACCATGGTTTGCATCATTTTCATTATTATAAAAAGAAACAACCATGACTTAATTCAATACAGACAACAATTTTCCACATGAATGGCTTCTTCATGCTACAAAAATAAGGGCTGTAACTCTCAAAATGATGCATGCTAGTTTTGTTTCTTTAAAACTTAATTTAATGAGCTGAGTGAACTCAGAACAACTCATGTTTATAATCAGAAAATAAAAAAAAATAGACTGAAAAAAATGTGAAATGATCAGAATTTATGTATCTACATTAAGTTACATATCTACATTGAGTTAATGCAAAAACCTTAATGGATTCTACTAAAATTCCTGTGTGATGTTTTATAATGTACTGAGGAGATCAGAGCAGTGGGTGGGTAACAAAGCACAATTCTTTGACACTAGAGACTCATATCCTGTGTCCGGCGTGTGGTCTGCCTTAGACAAATAACTCAAATTACTCTGGTTAAGGTGTTTTTTATGTTAATAAGCACGTTTTTGTATTTAACCAAGACCACAATCTTTCTCTAACCTTAAAAAGAAAGAAAGAAAGAAAAATACACTGAATATTTTACAGACATGTTGAGTATTAACATATTGGAAAATATATTATTAAACAACATTTCCTCATTATATTCATAGAATCCAGATGGCACTTAGTTTCTGTGCATATTTGCAATTTAAAATAAGTTATCTATAAGCATAATTTCTAGGAGACAGGGTTGGGGTGTTTTGAAAATATGCTTCTATACAGTGCAATTGTGTTTTAAATGCTTAGAATTTGAATGCACATTAAGGTATTGCATGAGTAATAATAAGGTTGACTTAACACAAGCTGATTTAAGTCTATATTTCATACTGGTCCATTATGAAAAAACTCCATCCATCCATCTTTGTCCGCTTTATCCGAGACCGGGTTGCGGGGGCAGTAGTCCGAGCAGACTTCCCTATTATGAAAAAACTAATTTAAAAAAGCTTAAAAACATATATAATCATCTTAGGCATGTATTACTTTCATCATGCTTTGACACACCACTTCAAGCAACCAAACAGTTAAGCACATACATATAAAACACACAGTATGAAAGATCTATTGGTCATTATATGCACTTGACAGCTTAAGCATGACTATTATCATACAGGCGTGTGTGCAGCAGTTGTTCCAATTAGTACATGTAAATGAAAGGGTCTAATAACTGCTGATGAATAATTCAGCTGTAACACTGGTGTCACATTGATTTGTTCATACCAAGAGTTGTGATAAAAACAGCCTCTTCATTTTAAATGACCACTGAATTACTCATTTGTGTCTTTGCCTGAAGAGAGATGCAGGCTTCAGCACAGTAAGTGCTCCTCAAATTATATTCAGCAGGGCATAGCCTTCAAATTATATTCAACAGGACAGAGGCTGAAGTTTATTTACTGACTCAAAAGATAAGTATTTGAATATCAAACAAAAAAAATCCCAGACTCCTTTTTTTTTCAGGTAGCTGCAAAGTGTTTTGTTATATATACAAGGAATCTCTGACACTGTGTGTACTCGTGAGCAAGTCCTACCGTGTATTCATGCAATCTAAGGAAAGTAAGGATACATTTGAGATTGTTTACCTTGCTTTATGCTGATTGCATTTTCATATTGAATTTATCCTGCTGAGTTGGAGCCCATTCAAAAGTGTAGCGTGCTGTGCTGCCACTGGAAAAGGGGGATATTGAACCGAGCTAATGTACATTTCTATTGGCAAACCAATACACTGTAGAAGACTGACTTAATAATATCATTCTTCTTTCAGTGTTACATAAAAGAAGTCTGCCTGCTGCAGGGTACCCAATCCAAGAAGATCATTCTATAAAGACATTTTCAGCCAGGCAGAAGTTACCTCAGGAAAACAGGATGAGTTGTTTAGTACAAAATGATGTCATCACTGAATTTCCCCCCATCACAAATAAATAAAAGATTAATTCTGCTGCTACTGATTCAGTTTCACTATACTGTATGTATGTGCATGCACGTGTGTGTGTAGGGGGGCTGTCAAATTTTTACTGAAACAGAATTTAAATAACAGATTGTTACTGGCCTAATTATGGCACTTCTGCATTAGTGTGTAATGTACCTGAACCAGCTGAGTGATACATTATCAGTTGGGGTGCTGACTGATGAGTTCGCTGTAAAGCTATTTGATTTGAAAGCACACAAGGCTAGCGACACTAGCTGTAGCTGCTTTAGCTTTGTTAACCTGCGAGGCCCGACAGGACACAACAGGGGAGGTGTGGTTCACAGGTCTGTGTATGTCAGATAAAAATGGAATTGCTTACTGGAACATGTAGTTTACAGCACGCTACGAGGCTTCAGCAACAGCACCTGTATCTCCAAAGAGACAGGGCAAAGATGCTTGAATGGGCAACTTTCAAACCTGGGAAAAAAGTGGAGGACGAGCAAAAAGAAAGCAAAGTGAGCACCAGATAGAAATAAAGGGGAATAAAAGATTGTCCATTTGGGAAAAAAAAGAGAAACTGGAGGTGAAAGAGAGAAAGACAATTAGAAATAGAGCAAGCCACAGCAAAACCTTCCAGCATGAAATACCCTAACCATTATATCTCCTCCCTGATAAGGCTCCAGAAGCTTATCAGCCAGTGGGTAATTTCAATTAAAAGGGGTTTTGCAAGACAAGTGGTTAAATACCTCAGAGGAAACCTGTCACCACAGGAGAGGTGGCAGGCTGCCTTCACCAGACAGAGGGGAAAGAGGAGAGGAGGAAGAGCAGAGTGCTGCACCAAAGGATGGACTTGGCCTTGGTAGCAGCACGTGATGAGCGTTATTGCATTAGCTCCTCACCAATCATATAATGAACTCTCTGTCAGACGAGACAAAAGTCCGGCCACACCCCTGCAGCACGGCGAACAGCTAGAAGAATGTGATCGGTCGGATTAACAATGAAGGAGCCCTGAAGGGAGGCAGAGAGAGGCCTTTTGCCAGAGAGAGATAGGAAGATTCGGGAGCTTAGTGTTGTCAAATGTTTTATTCAGCCATGACCATGAGCGCTGCCAAACAGATTAGCCTGTTTACCACAGGTTTTCATTTAGGAGATAAATCTTTAAATGCTGGATTTGGCAGGAGGAGGTGGGGAGGGCAGTGTTTATGTCACACTAAGTAGAAGTGGGGGATGGAGTAACAAAGGAACTGAGAGGAAGAAATAAAACTTCTCATTAAGCTCCAAATTGTCTGAATTAATGGCCGCTGTAAGCAGTGTTAGACTTTGGTTCTTCTGACCATTGCTAACTCGGAGACGAGACAGTCCAAGTAACTTCAAAACAGTGCTGATTTATTCAAAGGATCACAGGTAAAATTAACATTACACGCTCAGGTATCTTGCACCTCCAAACTGC